CTTCCACAGAAGCCCTCTTTCAAGGTGCTGCGTGTTTTCCAAACTTTAACACAGCCCTAGGTTCAGGGTTTGTCATCTGGGCTTTTCTGTAGGTGAGGAAACTGAGGCACAGAAGAACGTAGATGCTGCCAAGGAGCAGCTTGTCTCCAGGGAAGTGCTGTGCTGGGCAAAGCAAACAAACACCTGTGCCCTGGCTTCCCTTCACAGTCTGATCAGCGGAAACAGCAGCAGAGGGGTTAGGTCAGCCTCAGGGCTCTGGGCAGCAGCAGCATCAGATTGGCTTTTCAGTGGCTTTGGCTACGAGGCAGGAACGTCCTGAAGCCTTTCGACGTGTTTCTTCAAAGAGCGCAAGCTGGGGTTTGGAAACACTGAGCACAGAGCAGGTGTACAAATATAGAAAGTCATCGTAATGAATCGTATCCCTGCACGAACAATGCAGAGGCTCAGCAGTTGTGAGGAAGCAGGCACAGCCTGGAGTCAAGCTGGACCTCTAACATCAGATACCAACCAGTAAGTGAGCAGATTAGAAAATGGCGTTCTGATTTTCAGAGCCTCAGTTTATCCGACTTGAAAATGGAACTGATGCTTTCCTATGTCACTGACCACTCAGTCGAGAAACGTGGCTTTGGCCTCTTCTGTTTCTCTTCTTCATGCCTTCCCTCCATTGCTACGAGACATCTGCTCCGGAGCTTCTGGTTGGAGTCTTTGCACAGCTGCACAAAACGTAGTGTATGATCTGATTCTCAAATTGGGCTTAACTCATATGTACAGTGCCAGCTGGAGGGGCCTGCTGAGTTTTTGCTGATGCATCAGAAATATATTTTTAGGAAGGTTTCTCTATAATTTTCACATTATAGCTCCTTCTGGATCACTCAGAGTATAGTAAACAATTGCTATACTTGTTAGAGGTCATGAATACAGAAAAACATTCCTCTGTGTGAGGTCTGCTGTTAAATAATAACTTGTCATTTCATGGTGTGGGGGGAGTGAATGCCCTCGAAGGGACGTGCTGACATTGTTCAAGCCAGTGATCCAGTTCCTGTAATTTACACCACTTTCTTAAAGCTGCTTCTCTGCACAAGAACAATGGATGTGCTGAGGGACAGCTGTTGCCCTGCTGCAGCTCCCGTTGCCTTGTGCGTTGATCCTCTCTCCGGTTTCTCTGCTGTGCTGCTGCAGCAACGCGTGGATGGTTCACTGCTGGAGGCCCTGGAGATGATGGGTGAGGAAGGTGGTTACCGGACAGCTGTGCAGGGTGCAGCCCTAGGCAGATGGGGCAGGTGAGTGGCATTAGAAGGTGATCATACAAAGAGGTTGTTAATGAGTAATTTCATGATCAGCGAGTTGAGTGAACACTGCTCACCTTTGTGGCATCGCTGCTATCTGGTGTAGGGGGAGCATCCACTGCTGTCCTTTCCTCAGGGGATACTAATGGTGTCTGTGTCCTTCATCTGTCATCTGCAGCGCCTGTCTGGGACCTTCAGGGCTCTGAGAAATCCTCCTCTCTGTCTCCTTGAAATAGTCTGACATGATCAAGAACTACTTGCACACATTGGGCTCACACAGTGCTCCATGTAAACCTTTATTCCCTTGGGAAATCCAGGCTTTACAGTAATCACCTTGCTGTTCAACCAGGTATAACGTGCAGTTGTGATTTTCATAGCACAGTAGAAAAGTGAGGATCTGGCTGTGGCTGAAGTCAGTTAACAAAACAGATAAGTTAGGGATCCCAGAGCCCCTGCAGTCCTACCTCAAGGCCAAAGAAGAAACTAAGAAGTCTGATGGAGCTGCAGAAGTGGGGTAGAGCAGTGAGCTCCAGCCAGACAGGTGACAGATGTGTCCATTATGACATCTCACAGTCCCTCCCTGTGGTATGGGAATCTGCCCTTTAATATGTGGTCAAAAGAAAATTAGGTCTTGGCAAAAACATAGCAAATTTAAGAGCTCAGTCTGGAAGGAGCTCAGCAGGGAGGCATAGGAGCTGACTGCAGCATTTCAAAGTCTTTCTAGAAGCTGTGGTTTGGAGAGGAAAAGGGGATGAAATCTTCCATGTTGCAGCATGCAGGAACTCACCAGCTCTACCTCTTCAAATGTCGTTGTGACATGGCTCCACCATATTCATACTCATGACTGATGGAATGGCAGTCTCCACACTCAGCCCCTTGCTTCTTGCTTTTCTTGGTTTGTGTTGCATGCTCCATGTTGTTTTAATGTAGTTCCTAGTATTTAATGCATTTTTATTGCTTTCTCTAATAACATCGACTGAGTGCAAGGAGCCAATCTAAACAAGCTGTGCCAATAAGCCAAACATTTCACTTCAACCAGCAAAGCGGATGCCTCTTATCCCTACTCAGGCCCGGCTGTGCAAACCAAGGACCTCGTTGCTCATCAGGGAGAGCAAAGTAAAAGCCTGGCAGAGCTGGGCTGTGTCCCTGTGTCCCTGCCACATGTGTGCCATCGAGGTGTGTCGGCGCCGAGGTGCAGATCTGGCAACGTGCAAAGCTGGCTTTTCTCAAGGGATTAACGCAGCATCTTGTCTCATGCACTTTGACAAGTTGGGTCTTGGTTTTGAGAGACTGTGAGCACCTTTAAATCCCTTTGACATCAGTGGAAGACGGAGTTCACGTTCTGCATCACTGAAAGCCTTTCCAAGCAATTAAAAAACAACCCCAGACCTCCTCCCCTGGTGCTGATCTGTGGTGTGGTGTTGACGTAAGTGTACTGGAGTTTTACTTACAGCAGCTGGGTAGTTGGCACTTTCATAGGACTTTTAAAAATTTTTTTCTGTCTTTTGCACACTATTCCTGATTTTTTTTTACTCTCTGTTTGCTTTTCTCCTACAAGCCCAGCCTTCATGCCCGACATCTCAGCACTGCTTCCTGTTGTTCTCTGTGTTCTCCCTTGTTCCATCTTCTCTTCCCTGGTTTCCTCCCTTTCATTTTAAACTTATTTTCCTCAGGCTGCCTGAGCCCATCCTCCCAGAGGGGAAGTGTATCTGTCTCATTCCCATCTCTGTTTCCCTCCAGCCCTACAGCTGTTCTCACTCCGGCAGACCCCACTCCTGCTCAGAACACCATGTATGTCCAACCCCTTTCCTCCACCACTGCAGGTCAACAACAGAGAAAACAGAAAATGCCCCAGGATGGGGAGATTACAGCCAGGAAAGATCGTTCCTGCAAGATGCCAAGTGTTGTCTCACCAGCGTTCGCCTGGACTGCTTTCATCTGGCTGGATGGTGGAACCCCCATCCCCAGCACTGACACCATTTGCAATGTTTCATGCCACGCAATCCATCGTTGCTCCTGAGAAATTTTCGCCTTTTATGCTGCCCAAGCCTGAAAGCCATAAACTCTGTAGTGAGGATGTGGTGAGGTGTGAATGTACACTTCATTTCCAAGTGGTTCTTTTCCCCTCGTGTGCTGCACTTTACCAGCAAAGCAGTGGGCACCATTCTCTGTGCTTTGCCCATGTAATTATGTGTTTTCTAGCTGTGCTCAGTCAAAAGTAATCATGGAGTTACAACCTCAGTTGGGACAGAAATCAATCAGTTTAACAAGTTGACTCGTGTGCGATTACAGAAGATACATTCTGCCACTGATTTGTTCTGCCACCCTTTTGCCCTCCTAAGTAGAACACACCGTGGGGACGGATGAAGCCAGTGAGCAGTTGGTGGTGGCACAGCCTGCCCGTCCTGCTGGGGTGAGGTACGTGTACAGCTTATGGATGTGAAGGGACTTTTCCCTCCAGGGAACTGGGATGCATTTAGCTGCAGTCTGCAGATTTGCCTTAGGCACCTTGTGACCCCTGCCTTGGGTGTGTTTTTACAGAAGTAGGGAATTATCAGATCTGGAAGGAGAATGTGCATGGGCTGATCTGCCAGCGCTGCCGTCCACGTGTAGCCAGCTGCAGTCACATCCCTTGTTCTGTCCCTTCGCCTCTCCTGTGTTCCCCGACTCAGACTTCGCCTTGTTCAGCAACAAAGAAAATGCCTTCAGAAGCATCGTTGCCCTGATACAGCAGGAGGCTGTGACAGATTCAGTCACTGCTGGGGAATGAGCGCACAGCAGTGCTGCGCTGTCTGTGCCATTATTGTTCTCTGCTGCAAACTGGAAGCGACTGAGAGCAGGGCAAGGCAGCAGCCCTTCTGTAACAGCCCCCCCGGGATGCACACACATCTCCAGTGGTGCAGGATGTGCACAATGGGCATGGCTGGCAGCTTCTGCCACGAGGATGATGACAAAATCCCTCCTCTGGATTTCGCAGTGATTGACATTGTTGGCTTTTAAAAGATCAAGTAAAGAAAGGAGAAGGAAATATGTAAACTTCCAGGGCAAATTGTGTTGAAAAATTAGAGAGTGATACAGTGGTTGGCTCCAGGCTGGTCCTGCAAGGATTGACTCTCATGGGAATAGTTATGACCTCTCTGTGGGTTCTTCTCATTAGGGTTTGTGATGGAGAAGTCAGTGTGCGTTCCCTCTGCTCAGTGCTGCACTCAGCTCTGAAACTGCCAGCAGCATTTCCAGACACAGGTACGTATGGGGAAATCCAAAGCACAGTGTGAGTCTGCATTACCTCTTGGTTACGTGGATTACTGAATCCAAGAGAAAGTTTTAGTTACACAACACAAACAGCCCACTTGTGAATGTGTCACAATGATACTCTGGCACACTCAGCAGCCCATAAAAATGCCCACTCTGCTTATACTGCTGAATTGTTTCAGCCTTTGATAAACCATCTGTTGCAGCCTGTTGTACATTTTAAAGCATTTCTTGCTAATGGATTTTCACAATGTGGTTTAAGGGATGTTGTTATTAATAAATGTAACTGTACTGAATAGTAATTTGATAAAGATGAAAGAGGCATTTATGAATTTCACTTTCAGCAGCTGCTAGGAATTTTTCCCTTCTTCAGAATTTAATGTTGATTTCCTTTTCGTTAAAACTGTTATATTCTCACTTTATAAAGAGAATATCAGAGGAGTTGGACCAGTTGTGCAATCTTCTGTGTGGTAAAAATCCAGTTCTGCTCAGTGCATGGCAGAGATTTCCTTGCTGAACAGCAGGGCTGGCCAAGTATCCCATCAGAAATGCCTACAAATAGTGTGTATATTTGAAGTTGTTTTTTAAAATATGATTAATGGGTCTTAATATTGATAGAAGCATTAAAAGAAAATAATTTATCCACACTTCTTGCTAATGGACTGATCTCTATTACGTTATCGTTACAATGGCCTCGTTGTGTATAAATTAATTAGGGACTTAATACCACTGTTTCATACAAACAGTGTATGATTGGCTCCAGTTGAGCAGGAAACGTGGGGTGTCTGAAGGCTGCTCTCTACCACAAAAAGGGCTCTGCTAACACTGGTGGCACACAGTAATGGAAGTACCATGAGTTATGTTGGGCCAAGCAGGGGCAATGGTGAGGAGGAATGTTAGCAGAAACAGAATGGAAAGCTTTCTTTCCTAAGAAGTGAGCTTTGCTTTACTAGAACCTGATCCACACAGAGATGGACGTCTTCAGCAGAGGAGGCAGGTATTAATCACAGGAAATAATGTGTTTTCACAACTCGCAGAGCAGGAGTTCTCTTGACAAGAAAAGATTTTCTATTTTTGGATTGTGCTTTTAATTAAAGATGCATGAGGTGCACATGCAGAAAGGACCAAAAGGCAGTGTGAAGCTGGAGGGTGCTGAGAGACAGAGCCCTGCTCCTGCCCCTCCAGGCTCCCTGCTGTGTGACACTGCACGGCGCTTCTCTTCTCCTACCTCTTTGCTACCTCCCACTTTCTGTGCATCGTCTTTGTTAGCTCTTTTCAAGGGCTGAAGCTTTCTTGTACCTTGAGTTAGCACTGCATTTAGCTTCTCCAGATGCTATGGTACTGCCATCACAACTAATAGTCAGTCTGCCACCCAGCTCATTCTCTCAACTCGTTCTTTTGCAAAGTTGCACATCCTTGTGAATAGGCAGCTCAGGGATTTATATAGAAAGCAGCAGTGTGGATCTGCCTCTGATCTTAAGGATAAATCAGGAGTAAATTCAATGAAATTCAGCAGGAATACAATAGGTTTTTGTTACAAGGGGAACTGAGACATTCTGTACAAAATACACAAACGCTACTTGCAGTAAAGTTTATAATACAAGACAAGAAAATGGTGTGATGTCTTGCTCCCTTCACATTGCGCTAAACTTCTCCCTTGGGGTGACTCTTTTATATTATAATCAGTCAGTTTTCCTGGACTAATTTCCTTGCATAGTAGGCTATAAATAATTATTATTGGTATTGCACGGAGGCTGCAAGTTCCTGGACAGCCGTGACCGAATTCTTAATTTGCCAGTTACTGATATAATGCATCTGTTTTTGTGATTACTTTAATTATGTGCTATATGTAACTGAAAGAATACAAAATCATCCTTCTTTTTTCTTTGTAGATTCACAGACTGATGGAAGGACAGCCCACCTCTGGCCGTCTTTGCTTTTGTAAATCCTGTCTGGAGTAAAATGACATTCTGGGGTAAGCAATTGTTTATACAGTTTAGCAGTGTTAGCCCCTGTGTAGTCTCTGAAGACAATACCAGTAGGTTGTCAGCATCCCCTGGGCCACATTGTATGTTGTAGAAAGATTCTCAGCAATGAAAATGCAGTTTTATCCTTCTCAAAGTGCCCCTTACCAAAGTCAGCCAAGCATCCAGAAGCACTTAACTCTGAGTGATGGATCAGCATTAATAATCTACTGACTTGATAAGCATACAAGATAGGCCAAGTCTTTCCAGAGGTTTCAATTCCATCATGTCTCCCATTTCTTTTGGCTGAACCATGCCATAGTGTACATCCAGGGATTGACAGCTCTAATTTCATAGGAACCAATGGACTTGAAAGATAATCTATTGATGTAGGAGATTAATGAATCAGGCCTGTGGCCAGAGTCCCATTGACTTCAGTGAAAGCAGACAGCGATGCAGTTGCTGTCACATAGGTCTGAGAGCAGACTGCTTTAATTTTGTCCTCAGGTGCCCAACTCAGTCATGGTGCTACAGGAATGGAGTACAGCTACATGACCTGGGATGCTGGATGCTGCTGGGTGGTCCAAGATATAGATAATGCCAGTGAGCGCAATTGCTCTTGCAGAGCCAGTACAAAGAGCTCAAGATGCAGTCCTGCTTTCCTTCTCTCCATCTTCCAACAGGAACGCAGGTCTTGACCACACACACTGTCAATACAGGACCTCGGACTTGAACTTTATGCCTCGGACTTCAGCTTTGTGAGCCCTTAGACAGCCCTTCTGCAGCTGCATCAGGCCACACACAGTTACAGCTCTCAGCTGGGAGGTGACAGGCACAAAGCTGGCACTGGCTCTGTGATTATTTCTCTGCAAAGTCAAACAGGTGAGCATACTCTGCTGGTGGCCTAAGTGCTTTTGTTTGCCTTAACACTGGCCTTGAGCAGCAGTTAAGCACAGCTGGCACCGGCCTCAGGAGGCAACAATCACCTGCTGCTCCTCTTAAGCTTTTCTATACTGCATAAGAAGCCATGCTCTTGCTCTAGTAGCCCAAACAGCTGTGGAGTCAGCACAGGAGCAACATGAAACTGCCTTTCTGATTTCATATCTTTGATAAGCTGTGTTGCAAAAGCTGGGATTACCCAAGAGTTACACACGCCACAAACTCAGTATGACATTGTGGAACATTGGTATCTTGCTCTCCTGGGCTCCTTTTATAATACCAACTAAAAAGATTTTCCAGGACAAATGGAAATCTGGCCCTTAAATTTGTGATTATATATACAAACAAGCCTCAGGCATGCAGGATTTGGCCTATTTGACCAACGTGCTCTGAGCTTCTGAGGATGCTCTGCTGCTTTTTCACTAGAAAGCAAAGGCAGTTTTGTGCCCAAGAGGAGACAGTTTTTCTTGAGTTTTTTTTTGTTGGTCTCTGCTGCCTTCCCCTGCAAAGGGGTGTGAAGGGGTGGTGCAGCATGTGGGTTTTAACTGGACGCCATCCCTTTAATGTGGAGTTGTGTTTTTTTATTTTTTTTTTCAGGGCCAAAAATAAATGCTAGTGAAGGAATAAACAGACGTGAAAAGAAGGCTTGGACACTTGGAGGACAAGACTGCTTTGTGTTTCCCAAAGCAATAAGCCTCTTCACAAGGAGGTTACTCTTTCAGAAAAACACGAGTCCTGTGACACTGCCAAGGTCAGTAGGTGCCCAGCAGAGCAGGGAGCATTCAAGGCAGACATGTTTTGGGAAAGGGGAATATTTGCTCCCCTTGAAAGAGAGGAGAGAGGAGGAGAGAAATTTACTTTGCTCTGCCATTTCAGCTCTTTCCACAGGGTTTGAACATGCACCAGTTTGATAGCAGAAGACAGCTTCCATCTATGTCAGAACGTGGCCCCAGCACTGTGGCTGTATCACCTGCATGCTGGCTTGGGAAGAGGGCCGTGCTGCTGCCATTCTGCAGCTGAGGAAGCAGGTAAAGAGAGGGTATGTGTCACATGCACAGTAACAGCAGTAAGGCCTGGATTTTTAAAGCTGCTTTGCATTTTTCAAAAGTCCCTTGTGGACGCAGCTCTCTTTTCTTGTGCTGGTGCTGTACGGGCAGTCTAAGCTGGGCCTCTGCTACCTGTCTGCATGTATCAGACTGGTCAGCTGCAGTTTGGATGGGCTTTGCTTCTGCAGGAAATAGGCAGAATTCAAAGCAGATAGCTAGGTTTGGGCATCTTGCGTTCTGGTAAGCAAAGTTGGTTAGCAGAGTGCTGCAGTGATCTCAGTGGGGGTAGGAAGCTTTGTTCTTCACTTTAGGGACTTAACTGATTCTCCATCCAGTGCAGTGTCTTTTGAAATGTGGCCTTTTAGGCTCTTTATTGTCTCAGTTGGAGACAGAATGAAAATGCTGAGTAATACTGAGCAATGATGAGATTATACAGAGTCTGTCTCATGCACAAAGGGAAGTGCAGTTCTTTCACTGTCTCTGAGTCAGCCAAAGCCTCTGAGGACTCTGGGTAAGAAACATGAGCTTTTAAAGGCACCTCGTTAGGACTGAATCTTCAGCACTGTCTGTAGTGAGACACCAAAACATACTCATCTCAAAGAGGGCAAATGTTGAGAAATCAAGGGAGCTAATTAGTGGAATCAGCTGCACTGCAGAGTTGAGGAATTGAATGTGATGGAACTTGGATTCCAAAACTAGTTGAAGCATGCAGGAAAATTAACCCTGACAGGAAATGCTCCAACCCCAGTGGGATAAATAACCAGCCCCAAACACATGGGGAGCATTAACTGACATGCAGAAGTTCTGATTGGCACGAGGGTATTCTGCTGGCATGCAGCTAGGGATTGAAATCAGATGTCTGGAGAGGAACTGCTAAGGGTACGATGCTCTGCTCTGCTCTTTGATGGAGTCCATCACTCTTAACACAGGGCTGACAAAGCAGCTTACCCTGCAGGTCCTGCACAGCCACCACTCCAGCGATGCGTTCAGGGCAGCAGTTCTGGACCTGCCTTGTGAGATACTGCCACAAGGGTGGCATTGGAGAAAAGTGGCGGAGCAGAAGACTGGGGGCAGCATTTGCCTCAGTCATCCAATTTGAAGTTGCTGGGATGGGAAAGGTAGATACAGAATGAGATATGACAAAAGTGAGCTTGTGAATTGGACTTGAAAAGGAAATTAGAACAGATAGCAGAGGGTTTCAACAAGAGAAATAAAGAGGAGAAACATGGTCATTATGGAGTGAGAATGGGGTTGAGATTAGACCCATCTACATATAGTCTGAAAATGAATTAGAAACACCTTGTCCACATTTCAGTAAAGATGATCATATTGAGCAGTGGGACAAAGACAGGATTTCTAGTGGGAATATACGTAAGGGAATGAAAATTATCGCATGTAAGGTGGAAAGAAAAGCATGAAGAATTCAGTGTGCTCAGGTAAAGGTGCACTGGCAGATTTCCATCCCAGGATTTGGCACATTAAATGAGTTCAGCTTAACCTGATATTTCTCTTTGATGACTGATTTTTTTTTTTTTAGGCAAATGAAATACAGGTGATTTACTCTATCCAGACTTGAGTGAAGAATCTGATATTATACCACAGGGGAAATTACTAGTTGAAGTTGAGACGATGGGGATTAGTGTGGATGGTGAATGCAAAACTGTTAAAGTGCAGAGGAAAGGGGAGCTGTGAGAAGAGAAGAAATGCCAGACAGAGGCAGTCAGTAAGTGGAACTCCTCAGGAGTCAGTGTTGAGCTCAGTCCTGCTTGTTTCATTAACGAGTCTGGCACAGCAGTAGGAATGCAGTAAAGAAATCTGCTGAGGACACGGGCTTTCTTAATACAGAGGATGATCGGAACATCAATCAGCAATGAGTGAATGACAGAATTCATCTGGAATAGAATAGACAAAGTATTAAGACGTGCATTTAGAAATTAATAACTAGAATATCATATTACTCACTTGAAGATGACAAAGGCAGGGGGGTGGAAAAAAAACCGCAGAGAATTACTTGCTCCCAGGGATAACTGTGAGCCACCAATCTGATATGGAGAGGCAAACACAATCCTAGAAGGTACAGGTTCACTCATGTTTGAGGAAGATTAGCAGGTACAGAGAAGGGCACTGAGGATGATCAGAGGGTTTAGAACAAGAGGAGACTAGAAGAGTTTCATTTGTTTAGTTTTTCAAAACAAAGGCTAGAGGAGATAGGATTGTTTTCAGTAAATATATCTGATAGGTAAAGATCAGAGAAAAAAGAGAATTGTTTAAACTGAATTATGATGCTGGCACAAGAACAAATGATATTAAAGCTGAAAATTTTAAATGAAGTGCTGGGACAGCCTGCCAAAAAGCACAATATGATGTAATTGAATGTAACACTAGGAGGCTGTAGGATCAGTAAACCAGAGCCCTGTGTTCCTAGATAACTTCTTTTTTGGGAAGGGAATTAGCCACAGCAGCTAAATGAAGGGAATGGAAAGAACAGCCCAGACCAGCACCACAGAGGTGTTCCAGTGATGAGCAGTGCGGTGTGCGGTGCGTACCATGGAGTGGCTTCTTTCTTAGTAAGAAAACAAGGCTGCAGTTTGTGTTGCTAAGTGCTGGCTGTATCAGAAAAGCAGTGTCACTAAAACATTCTGCTCTGGGTTTGAGCTCTTGCTTTTTACCCAAAATGTGACCATCTTTCACCTCCCAAACCAAAATATACGTTGCTGAAAGCACACCTTCAGGAATTGCTGTCTCAACACTGTCAGTGCCTTGCAGGCTGTGCAGAGGCTGGAAGCAGGCAGTGTGCTCAGCTCCCTGCTCTGTCCCTTGGAGCTCTCCTTTTCTGATGCTCTGTTAGGCAAAATGCCCGCACGGGGAATAATGTTGTACCTCTTTGAAGAGAAGCAGTAAACACTTTTGGCAAAGTGGGTACTGGCATCTAACTGGCACCTCTTAAATGAAGCTGGCTGACATACACACATGCTGCAGTGATGCTCCTGCAGTGGGAAGAGTCCCCTGACCTCAGGGCACGGGACCTCTCTGTCCTGCAGCCCCTCTGGAGCAGGGGCTGAGCAGCAGCTGGTGCCAGGGGCTGGGGCTGCTCTGCTCTCCAACAGCTCTGCACCAGGTGCCCCATGCTGCTCATCCGAAGGCAAGAAAATGCAGCTGGCCAGAGTCCTTGGGTTTGGAAGCAGCTCCACTGGCTAAAGGTAGGGCCTTCCTTTTCCCCCTCTCCCCCCCAGGAGAACTGGCAAATTCAGCTCTTCAATGGCACGAGCTCATCTCAGCCTTGCCTATAAATAGATAAATGAGATTCCTCCTGTCCCAGTGAGTAATTCTGACATCCTCCCTTTGCCTCGCAGAGAGCTGAGTCACAGGCACTCTGCACTCCAGTCCCTGCATTACTTACATGGTCTCAAAGGAAATTTTAACACATCCAGTGAATCATCAGGGATTGGATCATGTTTAAAGTTATTCCAGTGGCATTTCCCTTCTATTGTAGCAAGTCTGCCAACACCTAAAACTTTAGCTAATCTGGACTCAAAATGCATTGAGGAAATAGCATGTTGACATATACAGCTACTAATACAAATAACTTAAAAAGTTATCTTAAATCTGCATCAATAAATAAATGAACCTTAGCGGATTCCTTTAGCACTTTGGGCCTGTTAATTTTGTCAGACTGCTTCACTTTGTTGCTGCTTATTTAAAAGAACTCAAAAGTTTGAAATGTTTTAACATTCAGTCTTTAGGTCCCTAATTTAATCTCCTGCAGGTTTCCTGCCAAAATATTATTTGCACTGAGATGGAGCTCGCAGCCCTGTGCTCGTTCTTTCACAGAAATGCACACATTCCTGTTCTTACCCATGATAAAAATAAAATGCCTGCAAAGCAAGGACAAAACCAGAGAGGTGTTAAGTACAAAACACAGAGCATAATATGCTGGCTGCACGAGGATCTGAGCTCCAGCATGAAGCTGTATCTCCTGATGGGGCATTTTCACTTGTCACCCTTCCTTCTCCCACATGGGACTGTATGGTCTGATTGGCTTAGAGGCAACACAGCCTCTGCAATCAGAGGAATTCTCCTGCCTCAGAAACAACTGAAGAGTGGAAAATTCTCCAGCAGAATTTGGGAGCTGTGAAACAGAAACAGATTTCACTCTGTTGGTTTTCTGGCTTGCCTTGCTGTGTCTTAGAACTTGTTGGGTCTTTTCACTCATCCAGAATCCAGTTACCAGAGTCTCCACTTGAATGAACAAGAAATGCTAATGTTGGCTGTTTTGCTGCTGTGCTTTAGTACTCTGAGTCCTAAAACTTGGGTGGTTCTTTTGATAACCCTAGGAATGCTGTGTTTTATTCAAATAACATTTTTCAAGCACCTTTTCATAAAGCAACTCTCTGCCTGTGTGCAGATTGTTAACAAGCATTTGTCCAACACATCCCAGCATGAGCTGCAGTCTCTCCATGAGATGGTTTGTCTCCTGCACTGAGACTCATTGGTTTATTTATCAGCCCAGCACAGCTCTGCTTGACAGTGTTCTGCCAGCTGTTACTATACAGCAGCATTGGGAAAAAAGATCAGTTTTGGCTCTCAGTGGAGTTGGACATAATTCAGCTACCTGTTGACAAATTATGATTTGTTTAACAGCATAAACTGTAATATTTTTATAGCTGATAGTTTTCACCCTTCCCTGCAGCTGGAAAAAAAAAAAAAGAGGAACTCCAAGAAGCTCCTTACTTGAAACCAAAGTTTTCTTGTAGTAATGCCTTGTACTGTGCAGGAAAATGACATCTCTAATGGACAAATCAGGTGTCTGCATGATGCTGGAAGAGGGCAGGTATGTTAATAGGGATCACACAGCTTCTTGCTTGACCTCCTTCCTGCAGTGCTCTTTGCCACACAGTGCAAGGATGGAGGATGGCTGGTGGGGCCCCACGAGTGGGGCTGGGCCCTGAGCTGCCCAGCTCTGTGCTGCCATGGGGACACAGTGCAGTCCAGGCCTCCGAGTTCCCCATAATGCAGCATGCAGGATGCACCCTCAGGAGAGTATTGTGGTCCTGCTAAGGAGAGCTGCCTTCACAGAAGGTGAACAAGGTAAGAGGGAAAAAAAAAAAAAAAAAAGTGGCTTTAGAATAACTGTGTAGATGGACTTGTTCTACCTGCAGCAGTGAGCTTAGTGTAACTTCTCAGTCTGCACTCCTGTGCTGGGAGTGGGACGGCAGCGTGGCTGCACCAGGCTGGGTAAGGGCTACTTCCATGTACTGTGTGCTTCTGAAAGTACTGGCCATTAATTGAAGCCGAATGACATAGCAGATCCACAGCATGAAAGAAACAAAACTAACTTACCAATTTTTGCTCATGCTTTTAAAATACGCTCCGCCAAACTGTACTTCATGACTATCTCTCAGGAGGGCCAGATCCTGCAGGCCATGTCCTCAGCTTGCAGAAAGAGATCATTAATCATTAGTGTGCCATGGTCCCTGGCTATTTTAATCACTGGTGAAATACTCATGCAGTTCCCACTCCTAAAAATGGTATTTGACTCCAATGCACATGATTTCCTTTGGCTTCCTTTCCCCATTTAATAGCAAGCCATAACAACTTGGAAGTGCAAGCACTGGAATCCATAGGTTTGCTTCTCATCTGTCATGGAGCCAAAGCTTGGAACTGCAGGTAATATCTGTGCTCACCAAAAGAGCAGAACGTATTGTGACTGGCTGCCTGTGACAGCCCTGCCTACAGACTGATGGTCAAACCCTGTCCTGTGTACTGGAGCTCTGAAAATTTGGTCCCTTCTGTATCATTAGTCCAGTTCTGTTCCGCTTTATGATATAATGATTAAAAATGCTTTTTGTATATGCTGGCAATAATTAGGGCATGTTAGTCCACTGTGGGAGAAGTGGATGAACTAGCAGTATGTTTGAAAACTGCAGGCTGTGGCAACCCATAAATCTTTGTTCAGTTTTCGCTTTAAAAATGCTGCACTGAAGTCACAGGAAGCTCAAGGGCAAAACAAACTGCTCAGCCTCAGACTCAGGATCACAGTGAAACTGTGTGCATTGCTTCTCTCACAAGGCAGATGAGCAGCCTGAGGAGTCTAAGCTGTCCAGAGAAAACTTCCCTGCCCTCCCTTAATTGCAGACTAATAAATGCATTGTTCCCCTCTCCCTGGGCTTACCTGATTTATAAACTCGATTGCTACAACTCTGAATTCTCTGCTTTTACTCTTCATATGTGAACAGGTTCCTTTTGAGCTCATAGAAAGCACCAGTCTGGTTTTGCATAGAGGGAGGGAGCAGGTGAAGTTTATAGGTGTAAAAGCCTAAGAGGTAATGTTAGCAGGTGCACTGGTCATGAGGGAGCCCTCCAGGGATAATTACAGCATGTCAGCTCAAAGGCACAATGACAAATAGGGGACTGTCAAGAATTCAAATGTGGAATTTAACTCATCTCTTCTGACAGCGTTATTTATATAGAAAACCATGGATCTTTCTCTTGTATCTTTAAAAGACAAGTAAAAGTATGTTCTTTTCTTTTTTTTTAAGTTGCATATCAGGCAGTGTCATCCTTAGTAATGAGGAATTTCTGTCTGCATGGCTGTCAGGTTCAGAAGTCACATCTGTTACCAGCTTTAAAACTTGATGCTGCACAGAAAGGTAGGTAGAGAAGTCCCACTATCCTGCACCAGCTGATGAGTTTGTGTGCTTGAGACTCAAGGCATCTATTCATTTTGTTAAGGGTTTATTTTTTTTTCTCTTTATAGAGAACCAAATCTCAACCAATATCAGCTGGGCCCCAGAACAGAGTCCAGCTCTTAGGAAGGCTGTCCTGGCTGTCTTACCAGTTCACTTAATTAAACTTGATCAACACTGGCCTAATTAAAAAGACAAAGCCCAGCAGTAATCTGCTAAAACTAAAGGTTGCTTGGCAGCTTGGATTTCTTCAGTTTTGCTGAAAGTAGTTTAAATCATGGAGAAAGTTTGCCTTAATAACCATATTTCCTCCATGAAACAGCTATTCATCAAAAACTACAGCAAAGTACCAAAGGGCTCCAGTGACAGAAAGCACCGAATTTGCCTGCAAAATGTTATTTCCTGCACTGGTCTAATTCAGATCATGTGGCTGACATACAATTTCTATTTGACTGAATGTACCAGATTAAATTCCAGGCAGATGTTGTGCACTGAAAGCAGTTGATAACATCACAGGGCAGTTCAGAAAGATCCTGTGCAGCCAGAGACTGCCTGCAGCCTGGAACACTGGTGCTTGAAAGATGCTGGTGCAATTGCTTTGATATGCAAAGAAATATGAATGGTGGCTCAAGCTTTGTACATCTTCTGCTATCCATGCAGAATTATTTGCATGCAAGTAGGGAATGCTTTATTTTGGCAGGGTCTATTTTAATGTTCATACTACTTAGCATGCTCTAGGGATGGTAACTTCAAGAAGTCTAGGGCAGCACTTAAGGAGAGTAGAAGTGGATGGCATCATCGAGACTGACTGAACAAATCATGATTACCTGTGTATACTTTCCAAAACACATTTATTTTAGGAATTTCTGCATTTTCCAAGTCAGGCTGGAGATGCTAAATGACAGTGAAGTTTCAAAAAGACCAGCCAAATCTGTCCTTGAAATCTTAGTGCTTTGGCTGGGCACAGAGAAGTGGACTCACAGGTTTGCTCAGAATGTCCTGCAGTGAAACAGAGCAGGTTCCCACCTGCAGGGCATGCAGGAGCCCTCCTGCCTGCCAGCCCCTGGCCAAATACCAAGTGTCCCCACAGGGCTCTGCACCTGCCCTCCACTGCGAGAGGCTATTGGAGGGGTGTATGACTGGGAGAGCTGTTTTGAGAAGAGATAGGATAAAAATAACACCAACTCTTCTTGCTCTCCTATTCACCACATGCAGTCACATATAGGAAGGGTTTCTTCCACAGAGATGCATAAGCAGGAAATTGTGGCTTACCAGAAGGTAGAAGAAACACGGTTATAAAGCACTGGAAGAGTTTGTCAGACATTTATATAGGCAGAGTTCCCATAGCACATGAGAAAATGATCCATTCATCCATGCACCAGCTTCAGGAGAAGCTGCAGGACTGCCCTGTGTGCATCCACTGCGTTTGGAGGGGCTCTTCTGACCTCCACATCCACCACTGGGTTCTCTCCATGGGGCAGAGCTGTGATGGGAAGAAGCTGGGCAGGCTCAATCCGGTATTACAAAGCAAAAAGGGGGTTATTTTAACATATAAATATTCTTACTTTGAGTAAGATGTGAATACTAAAGATAAAAATTGTAACATAGGAAGAGAAACCCCTTCTGGATCTTCCTGTTTCCAGTACTAAGCGTTGGTTGTTGTGCTCCATCTTGTTAGTAGTGGAGGTGCTTCTGTTTATTTGATCAGTAGATACTGGATTAAAAGCAGCTCAATTTCATCCACACATCTCACCAGGGGAAACGTTCAATTCCTTCCATCTTGTTTTGGTATCAGGTGAAGACACTGCATCAGCTACATGAGGAAACAGTCTGTGGCTTCGTATGCTGGACCAGTCTCAGAAATCAAAGGCATCAAAGCAGAAAGTCCTGAAGCAAACAACTCCAAAGGCAGCGACCTGCAAGGCAGCCCTGAGCAGCACAGGTTCCTTTGCTCCCAGCCCATCCTTAGCAGACAGGAGTGTGCCTTTCTCGTGCCCATTACCTCTCTTACCTAGTCACACAACTGCTGGGACCAGGATTGTCTTTTAGGGCTTGCTTACACAGAGCAGTTGACTATTCTGCAATAGCTGCTGCAGGATGACTTCATGTGAACGCACTCATTCCACAGCGGCTGCTGGAGTTCCTGATTCATACCATACCTTAACTGGAGTCGTGTCAGCAAGTCAGTGTGCTTTACAAAGTTAAGCAAGACCCAGTTTGGGGTTTCTAGTCACTTCTCCTTTACATAGAGTTCAGCTTTAAGAAAAGCAGTTGAAATGTTCCTGAGAATGACAAATAACAAATGAGTAATGCTTGCTGTGGAGCCACACAGCCCAATTAAAAATAGGTAAGTGATGTGTAAAGGCAAGTCTGTGCAGTCCGTGTAGAGAGAAGGGAAAAAAATAAAAACAAGCATGCATTTCTATCTATTGTCACAGTCATATGAAGCGGAATTCATTGGTAAAAATATCAATTAATTGATAAAGAAAGCCTTTCCAAAAAGGTAATGACTAAAACAACCAGACGCTGGAAAAGGGACAGGTATTGTTGTGGAGCCAGATTAATTTGACTATCCATCTCCCTAAAGTTATTAAAGGAGAAAAGCTTTGAACATTGTTGTAGAGTTCAATGAAAACAAAAACTTAACACATACAAGCTCTCAGAAATGCAAACAAGGTGTTAGAATGATGGAGAATAATTGAATATTACAGTTCTGTTTAACAAATTGCTTCTCTTTGTACAATTACTGCATCTCTGCCCTAAGCAGGAGTGAAGCTCAGAATAAGATGATGAGAATGAGCAGAGATCTGCCATGGCTGAGAGCAATTCAGTAGAAAAAGGAGGAAAGCAGGAGTTAGCAAGGAGAGGGCAGTTCCCAAAGTAATGAAAGGCATTAAGTCTAAAACCACCAACACTTTCCCAAACATGAAAAGAATAAATTGAATACCGAAAGAAAAAAAAAAAAAAAAAAAAGGAAGAAATGCAGCTGTAATAATGCAATAAGCTAACACACATCACTGTCCTGGAATCTGAAAAAACAGTTTTTTGAAATACTTCCGACTGCAATCATTTATGGCTGCACAGCCCTGTGATGTTACAGGAAGGACATGAGCAGGAACGTTGCAGGACGGAGTCCTTCCATCAGCAAGCAAACAGCTGTGCAGAATAGGGGCACAGTGACACAGGCAGGCACTGCCCAGCCCATCAGTGGAGCAGTCGGTGCTCCCTGCTGCCCAGGCACGCTGGTGATGCTGCATGGCCACCTTCCCACGTCCTGTGACTGTCCTGCAACCAGTGGAGTAATTGATAATGCTCAGTAAAGGACCAGGAAATCTCTGTGGCTCAGGGTGCACCCCCTGCTCCCCAGTGCCTTGCTGTTAACCAGCCACGCTCCTGCTGGAGTGCTGTGGTCAGGGCTGTGTGTCTCTGGGGTTGGTTTGAGAACATCCCTGGCAGCGTTTTGGTCTGATAGCCAGAAATGAGAGACAGATAAAACAGGGAGGGAAAGTGCTTGGTTTCTTTCATTTCTCCCACTTTGTGCTCTCATGCCCTGAGATTCATACAACAATGCACTCTCCATACCACAATTAACAGTGAAGCTTTTCCAATCCACTCTGATGGAAACTCTTTCCCCAGCCTGTAACACCACTCCTTGCAAGCAATCCTTCCCAAAGGCAGACCTGCCCTACCGTGCTCGCTCTGCACCCAGCACTCGTGCTTACCTTCCAGGCCTCCCCGTGCCGGAGGTCACAGTTGACCATTGCAAGAACAATAAGGATTTTTAGGGGCATTATGACTGGGTTAGTAAAACACAGCTGCCCCTGAAAGTCCCTCATTTTTCTTGCTGCCGCTCAGTCCCCTCCACGTCCCTAGGAGGGCAGAGGTCTGATGGACTCCTTCCGCTCCAGCACGGCTCTGCCATCTCATGCTGGCTTTGCTGATCTGCCAGCAGCAGCCCAGCCGTGCTGACCAGCCGTGACACAGGCAGCGGAGGTGTGGAACTGCTGTGTCATCGCTGCAGGCTCCCTCCTAAGCAAACGCTGCGCTTCAGCATCACGCCAGATGGCTCGTCTGTCGCTCAGCAGAAATGCCATCAGACAAAGCACACCTCACTGTAAGCAACCCTCACGTGCCCCCCAAATCACCGGGGCAAAACGAAGCAATGGCCAGCCCTGCAAGCACTGGAAGCACCGCACTTTGTCCATCAAACACAGAGATCCCAGCGCCGGTGGGCACCTGCTGTGTGCGCTGTGCCTGCAGCTCCGCCCAGCTGCACGAGCAGCTCTTCTTGATTTATTAATAAAGCTGGGAGTTCAATTAGGTAATTGCCACTGATTTCTCAACCGCTTTCAGTTTATGTGATTTTTAAGAGCTATACTTTTCCTACTAAAAAAGGTGCCAAGTGGTTGGCTGGGAATTTTCAACCCTCATTTACAAATCCTCTTGGAATTCCCAGCCCAACCCTGCATATTCGTAGGGCAAGGAGTAGCACTTTTCTTTTAACTCATTGCTAATTTGAATCTTGATGGCAGTGGACTCAACAGAATCCATAGGCAGATTCCCATGCATGCCCCCACCCTGCTGTTTCCCTGAGCTCACTGCAGGGTGCTGGATGAGCACACCATCCCATGCACGCTGTGGGAAGCCCTGTGAGCCGGGCAAGCACTGCTTGCCTATGAGGACAGAGCTCTGGGAGCTACTCCAGGACTCCCAGGGCCTTTGGAGCAGAGCAGGGAAGCACTGAGGACTCGCAGCGCTATTTTTTTCTCCCCCTATTGCATTAAAAATGCCCCACCCCTCTACAAAGGACACTCTTTCCCCAGTCCCAGCAGTTACAGGTTAGGACAGACACAACACTGTCTCCATAACCCCCTACAAGCAGCAATCTCACACAGCTTGGGTGCCATCCTGGGCAGGCCCAGGCGCTCTGCAGGGCTCACTTGCACGCTGCTGTGTCACATCCAGCCTGAGAACAACGGGGCTGAGCTGCAGAGCTGTGCCGTGTTTGGAGTTGCTGCCATTCAAACATGCCATCTCCAGAGACACGGGCAGGGCTGGCACAGCTGTTCTGCATGCAATGGGAATGCTGAGGTTCGGGCAGCCCAAGGTCCCAGCCACATGCAGCACAAGATGAATATCCTCACCTCTCTCACCAGCAAATGATGCTCCGTGGCAGCAGCCAGCCTGGCACCCGGCAAATGCCTCAGCTCCTCTCAATGCTGTACAAAGCCACACCTTATTTTCATTTAGAATTTCTTCTAACGCTTGAAAGTTAAATGAAAGCAACCATTATGCCTTGATTTGGTAATAAAACATGAGCTGTGATTCTGATCCAAATATTATTTGCATCTTTAAAAAAAAATAAAAATGTAACAGCAGTATCGTAATTTAAAAAAAAAAAAAAAAAAAAAGCAGGAGCCCTCTGAATGCTAATGACGTTGGTGTCCTAAATGAAGCATAAAAGCCAGATCCTGTGAGATGCAAAGCATGAGTCAGAGCGTCAGCAGTCCCACACTGCAAGCAGCACTGCTGCTTCATTCGTTTAAGGAATCAATTCCTTTGTAATGAGCACCAAGTAGTTTCTAGGACTAGAATTAAAATGAGATGCATGCTGTTATTATTTTCAAAAAGTTCTTCTTTTCTTTTTTCCTCTTGGAATGACAATAAATAGCTCTTTGTATTTGGAAGGAGCCCCAGGTAAGGACCAGGTCCCTGCAGCACTGCTCAGAAGACAACCCCGTGAGACCCTGCAGGGAGCCTCCCCAGCAGCACAAGCAGATGGAGCTCACCAGGGCAGAGCACAGCAGGCAGCTGGACTCACTGCAGATTTCAGCCTGGGTAGGCTCTCTCACCTTGATTTTGTTTTACTTGCACAGGATAGCTGGCATCCCGGAGGATGGATGCATCCTGCCCTGGGGAAACCCCCTTCATGGAGGGTCTATGTGTTCCTTCTTGAGCTGGAAAGGCAGCCCACGGCTGTGTGTGCCACACAGGGACGTGCTGCTCCTGCTGCTGCAGAAGGCACAGCCAGACTCCAGTATCAGAGCACATGTCCCTAGGTTACACTGAGGTCAGGAGGAAGATTTGGGATTGATGGCTTTTTGGCCTGTTAGATTTGAAATTCATAAAGCACGAGAACAGCACAGAAAGAAACCAAAGGTAGGAAGCGAATGCAGTTTCTAAAATTCTTCTGGCTTTAGTCATTGGAGAGGATTGTTAGAAACGCACAAAGGGCCGTTTCCCTCAATTTTTTAAGTGTGAATTTCATCTTGACAGTTTCATTTCAGAAACAAAAATTGAAAACAAATTGTCCTATAGACAAAACAAAGGGGCAGATCCTCAGCTGGAATAGACTGGTATTACCAAATGAGTAACACCCGCTCACAGCAGAGGCTCTGGCCCTTGTGACAGCGGCTGCCTGCTGCCATCCTGCTCTGCCCAGCCAACAGCTCAGCCTCTGGTTTCAGCTGGCCGCAGAGCTGACTCCAGGTAGCCTGAAGGAGACAAAGAGCAGCCTTCAGAGCTGCTGAGCAATGCTGAGCACAGTGCTTCAGGGACCCTGCGTGCACTGTGCTTTCCAAAAGAGGGGCTGGCTCCAGGTGAGAGCCAGAGGACGCAGCACCGAGAAAACAGGCGATACCAACAAGGCCCTGAAAGTAATGAGCTGCTGTGGAGAAATACTGGCAAAGCAGGCTTCCAGAATCCAGTTATTTATGGGATCTGCTCTCTGAAAAGAAGCATTTCTCGGATTTTTCTTTCAAAACCAACACTGGGCTGATCGTCATCTTGAAAATTAAAAGAGGTCCCCAAGAAAATATTAACTGCGGCGCAACAGGACGAACGCATGCCTGAATGCGGGCCAATCTATGCCAAACAAGACCTGCCTGAAGAGAGACTGGCACAGCATAACCATGCCTGGCATTTGGGATTTCCCTTCAGCCACAAATGAGTTACTAATAGGACATTAATTAGCTTTGGGTCCTGCCACCACAATCTGGCTCTGATTGGGCAGCCCTTCGTCCAAGCCCAAGCGTGCTCTACAAGTCACCACACTAACTGGGCTCATCAGTTCTCTCATCCAAAAGAAAACAAAAGCACACACGTTAGTTAAATTCAGGAAGTTTCTCACTTTGCCCATCATCAGAAAACAGACTGACTGCTGCTGTCTTCAGTGGCAGCCCAGCTTCCATGCAGAACATCAAGCTCTCTGTCTTCGCTGTGCTGAGACACTCAAATTAACACACACCTTGTACTGGTAGAGGAGCACCCATCTCCCAGGGCTGACAAGGGGTGACTTTGGCCACAAGATTTTACAATTCACTTCCTTTGAATTCTTTCATTTGGAGCATCATCTCTCTGCTCTCACACCTCTGCCACCATC